CACGACACACGACACACACACACACACACACACACACACACACACACACACACACACACACACACAAGCACACACATGAACGCGCGCACGCGTACGCACGCGTACACGAACACACACATGAACGCGCGTACGCACACGCACTCGAACACATACACTCATATATATTACTTTGGTATCATAAAAGATTACTTAGCTTTTGAAAACAATGTGATTAGTCCGCGCTAGTAATGTCTTNATCTCTCCTCATCTCTCTCTCTCTCTCGCTCCCCGCTCTCCTATCTCTCCAGCCGCGCTCTCTCTCGCCCACACCCCCACATTTTCCGTAATCGTTCTCGGACAGCACTCTTCTCGGCTCACATTTCCGCTGCTCTTACTACCACACATCTCCTCTCCTATCGTGTCTCCATGCTCCGCTCACACTCATTCTTCTCGACAAACAAACATCTGTTGCGCCTCGCACCGTCCAACGCCGAAATACCTGTTTTTTATATTTCTTCGCCAACACAAAAAACCCCACCACACGGTTTTTTCTTCGCTCTATCTCAATTTACCAAACTTCCCTGTTATCGGCATCTCTTTTCTCCGCAGCCCCTCCTGTTCTCGTCGCTTTTATTTTTGAGAGTTATTTACGAAGCACGAGTTTTAATTATACTACGGGCCAGAGGCGAGAGAGAGATAGAGCGCGAGAGGCGGAGAGAGAGAGAGAAGAGAGAGAGAGAGAGAGAGAGAGGAGAGAGAGAAAGAGGACGCCACGCAGCCAGCGCGTACATACACTGAATATAATACTAATCACGTACATAATATATCACGTATATAGTATTCGAGAGAGGAGGAGAGCCAAGGGAGAGAAGAGAGCAGCAGAGAGAGATTAAAGAGAGAGATAAAGAGAAGAGAGAGAGCGCGCCAGAGAGAGAGGGAGAGAGACAGAGAGAGAGGGAGAAGAGACAGACAGAGAGAGAGAGAGAGAGGAGAGAGAGAGATGAGAGCCAGAGAGAGAGGGAGAGAGACAGGCAGAGAGAGAGAGAGAGAAGTGAGAGAGAGGAGAGAGACGAGAGAAAAAGAGAGAGAGCAGAGTAGAGAGAGAGAGAAGAGAGAGAGAGAGAGGGAGAAGAAAGAGAGAGAGAAGAGAGAGAGAGAGAGAGGAAGAGAGAATCACGCGCACGCGCACGAATACCACATATATATCTACAATCACGTAATAATATATTTAGAATAATAGTATGCTATATAGACCCGCTGTAAACACTCGCAACGTGGCACGACTCATCTCGACCGCACACTCGATCGCACACTCGGGCGGAAGACGGATGCTGAATTATCATATACGTTCGATCCTTACGCTCACAAATTAATAAATCGTGTGCTCGCGACGTAACGGTAGTTGAGACATTACTAGCCGCGGACTAATAAATTGTTTTCAAAATAAGCGTAAGTATCTTTATGATACCACGAAAGTACATATATATGAGTGTATTGTTCGAGTGCGTGTGACGTAACGAGCAGACGTATTCATGTGTGGTTCGTCCGTGCGGTGTGCGTGCTGCGTGGTGGGGTGGTCTGTTCTAGCTCTCTCTCTCTCTTTCTCCTCTCCTCTCTCTCTCCTCGTCCCACATCTCTCGTCTCGCTCTCTCTATCTCTGTCTGTCTATTGTCACTCGGCCTTCTCGCCTCGTCTAAAATACGTGCGCAGCTGGACACTCAGCGGCCCGCGTATTCCTGTTTTTCGCGCCGTCGCGTGTAGCCAATCGGTGTGCAGAAGCTGTGTGGCTTTTACAGTCAGCGACCCTACCGAAACTGTATATAATCTAGGCATATCGTATCCCCCCTTTCCGCGGGAAAAATAGCACATGGAATCTGTCAACAATAGTAATTAAAAACTCGGGTTGCCAATTAAACCTCAAAAAATAAAAGCGGAGAGAACAGGAGGTGGGAGAGGAAAGAGACTGCGATACAGGAAAAAAATTGTATAATTGAGATGGAATGAAAAAATGTTGGAAAGAAATATAAACGAGTAAATCAGGCTTGGAGGAGGAGGGCAAATATGATTTTAGGAAAAGAATGAGGGCGGAGGAGAGGAGACCACGCAGAATAGAGAGAAGAGTGTGCGGAGAAAGAGACGGAAAGTGAGCCGAAGAGAGAACGATACGGAAATGGGGGGGGGGGCGAGAGAGAGCGCAGCGAAGAGAGAGAGAGGGAGAGAGCGAGAGCGGGCGAGCGCTAGAGACAGAGAGAGAGAGAGAGAGAGAGACAGATTGAGAGAGAGAGAGAGAGAGAGAGAGAGAGCGCTAGAGACATAAAGAGAAAAAAGGAAAGAGAGAGAGAGAGCGCGCTAGAGACATAAAGAGAACAAAAAAGAGAGAGAGAGTGAGTGAGAGAGAGAGGGAGAACAGGAGAAGAATGAGCGGGGAGAGGTGGTTGAGTATGGATGGGAGAGAGGAGATGTGGAAAAGGGGAAGGAGGTGGAGGAAAAAGGAAAGGAGATATATATAGAGCGATAGCGAGAGAGAGAAGGAGAGAACGCGCGCACGAAAGAGAGAGAGAGAGAGAGAAAGGTAGAGAGAGTGTGTGAGAGAGAGAAAGAGAGAGCGAGAGAGAGAGCGAGAGAGAGAGAGAGAGAGAGAGAGAGGAAGGGGACAGAAAAAGAGGGAGGGCCGTGAGATGAGGGGCATGCACTGGATCTAACGAGATATCACACACTACGATGAGGCAGGCTATACCTCCCATGATGTATGATGAACAGATGAGAACCAACCATAGGCATATTACATTAGGCATATAGATACTCAATACACAATAAAATTTCATATAACACCATAGATACTTAAATGAATTCTAACATTTACAATAAAAGTAAAAAAAATAAAAATATGACAGTAAAAATATGACAAACTTGGCATAATTTACTACAATCCAGAGCGATTTCTCAAAATTCGATCGCATTCGAACCCGGTGCCCCCCCCCCAGCAGCAGTGACCTTTGACTGACCTTCATGTGGGCGTGCCGGAAGTTGTTGAAGGTGCTTCGTTTGCAGGCGTTCTCCTCGATGGCGCCACCGATCGCGTCGAGCCAGGCGTCGCGCTCGGCGGGCGTGCGCGCGGCGAGGGTGAACGAACGCTCCACAGTGACGATGTTGAATTCGTTCTCATACGCCTCCAGCGCTGGCCGCAGCACCTGTTGATTAATTAATATATAATTATAATATAGTTAATTAATGCGCACACACACACACACACGCTGTTACAGATACTGTCCTCACTCCCCCTCACGCATGCATTCTCATAACCTCTCTGCACCTGTTAATGCACACACACACACAGGCTGTTACCGATAGTGTTGTCACTACTCCTGCTGTTACCGATACTGTTGTCACTCCCCCTGCTGTTACCAATACCGTCGTTACTCTCCCGCTGTTACCGATACTATTTTCACTCCCCCCTCTGCCCGCACCCCTTGCTGTTACGGATGCCGCCGTCACTCCCCCTGCCCTCATCACCGCCGTTACAAATGTTGTTGTCAACCCCTGCCAAAATCTTTTTTTTTGAGTCGATTACGTTCTCCTAGCAGAAAGTTAATAATTGTATCGATAAATTAGTATAATGATTATTATGTATAGTATCAGTTAATATCTACACACATCAAGCTAAAGCTACAGTATACAGTAACAGACTACACACGATAGAGATTAAGAACTGCATGATTATGAGAATTAGTACAAGTAATTAGATAATAACTAAACAATAACAGTAATTAATGAACAATAATTAAGTAATTAATAACGAGTTTAATTACAGAGAGTAGAATGTGAGACAGTACGAGCTACTCATATTGTATTACACACATCACCAACAACTGCGGCATCGCGAACAGCCGATTAGACGGAACATTTCCCGGTGTTGTTCGTACCTTCATGCCGGCAAGCAACAGCGTCGCGCTGAGACGATATGTTCCGTTTGCGAACGGCGTCGTGTACAGCAGTATGTCGTTCAGCTGGAACAACGAACAACGAACA